GTTTAAAGAGTGATTATCATTTGGATTATGTTCGTTCCGCCCACGTGAAAGTGGATTGATGTTTTGTTTGAAGATTTAGGTTGAAGTTTGAGGAGCATCATGTACTCCTTTGTTACTTACCTTTTTTTAATAACAAAAGTAAGTAATTATTTTTTATTTTTTTATTTCACTTTATTCGCATGTCATGTGATTTAAATTCAGATTCTCTTATTTTCAACAAAAAAAAAATAATTATTGAATTATTTAAATCGTTGATAAATTTTATTTTTTAATAATAATTAAAACTAAAATAATATTTTTAACCTCAATTGGCACACGTTAAAACATCCTTCCTATTTAGCCACAGTTTAAAGAGTGATTATCATTTGGATAATGTTCGTTCCGCCCACGTGAAAGTGGATTCATTACTTGATGTTTTGTTTGAAGATTTAGGTTGAAGTTTGAGGAGGGAACATACACTCCTTTGTTACCTACCTTTTTTAATAATGAAAGAAGAATATTATAGACTGTTTTGAGTCCCAACTCTTAAAATTTTACGAATCCTACAGTCTATACTAGGTCGTTTTGAACACATGTTTTGATAAACAACTAGCTTAGAAACATCATTGTTTAAGTAGCTTTCGTCTGCAACTAATAGACACCATTCTCATAGGAGATTATTTTTGGAGTGTAAAAGTCTTGTTCAATAGTTTCCTTTGTGTCAATTCACATGCGTAACATGAAAATAGAAGCCATCTCCTATACCAGGGGCGGAGGCAAAAAATTTTTTCAGAGGGGCAAAAAACTAAAATTTTCAAAGTTCAGTAGAGATTAAATAATTCTTCATACACTAATTTGCAAGATTTTCAAATTTCAGGGGGGCGAGCGCCCCCTCGCACCTCCTGCCTCCGCCACTGTCCCATACGGCTCAAAGTTCAGAAGATGGGTACAATCTCAAAACTCAATCAAGCAACGAAAACAGTTTTCTGACATGTGTAAAGGATTTTACAGTTTCAACTTTTGAAATCAGTTGAATTTACTTACGACAAAACAGTATCTCTATTCTTGGAAAATAGAAGTTTCTCTTGATTAGTTTAAATAAGTTCATCATAATCAGTTTCCTAGTCTTCCTCCTCTACTTAATTAACCAAACAAGAAAAAAATTGTATCCCCTATGGTGAAAACTAGAGAGATTACACAGATGAACTTTGCTCATCATAATCACATCCATGGAATCAAAAAGTATCCAATTCCACAACGACATGATTTTACCGTTGAAAGTTTGGTACTAAAAGCGAAGGGAACTTAGAACTATGATGCTTTAGCTATTATACCAGAATTCCGAAGTGCAGATATCAATGCTTTTTTGAAAGAATAAAGGAATGTGATGAGAGAAATTACAGAAAAGAAAAGACAAAAAAAAAGGGGATTACTTGCCATTGGCATGTGCATTTTTATTGAAAGGCCAAAGGTTTACCAGACGCTCAAGTACTGACGCACTTTTGGCAAAATAACCTGAGAATCCTGCGGGGATGGATGCTGGAGGGAAGTCTTCTGCCGGCATAGCAAATGGGTGAATCATCTTTTCCATTGTCTCTAATGTAAGATACGAAGCCACTTCTTGTAGCCTTTCTGGACCCATTATTGGTAGGGTGTGCTCCTGATGCAATGAAGCAGCCTCAATGTCGTTCTTCTGTCAAGCAAAAGGAGAAACGAGTGAAGACAACTCAGACAAATTGTTCAGTGCCCAGATTAGATTAGCTTAAATAAATTCATCTTGACATTTACAAATGTTGTTCGTATTTGCAGCACTTTTACATGGCAACATATTCAATTTTCATCCCACCAATACAACAGAAATGTTTGCCCATAATGTGTGACGTAAACCAAGTTCTAAAATAATAAGGCAATCTATCCGTATCTCTATTCAAAGAACCACTTTTCTCAGTTTAAATTCATAGTAAGCTTTTAATAGGTAAGAATCTCTATGAACAAAGAAGTCGAAATGCCTAATTTTGAGTGAGTTTTAGACATCCAACCAGAAACTATAAACACAAGAAAATGATTAAACGAGACATGAATCTTTTCCAACTTTTGCAACTAAGATAATCCATATAATGACTTCAGATAATTCTTTAATGAGAAATTTCCTTTATATATTTAACAGTATCTACCTCCAATGGGGACAAATCAGCACCACGGCTAAAAGTTAATTCAATGCGGAACCTTTGTGGGCTTTCCAAGTCAACCTGTAATTCCATTTTAAAAATAAATTAAAAAAATGTGATCCTTAAATAATATAACTCATAATTTATTCACTGCCTCAGCCAACCAGATTAGCATTCAAAATTAGGATAGATAAGAGAAGATATTCACCTCCGTGTTCTCAAACATCCTTATCACAATGTAACTCATGTAATCAAGCTCCCTTGTTTTATGCAAACGCTCTAATGCACTTTGGCACACAAGACTAGCTTCTCCTCGAAGAGATTCATCAAGATTACAGTAACGAAGAACATTCATGAGGGAATGGATATGTGATTCCTGTCATTCAAATGGATGACTATAAATTTCAAAGAATTCCATATTTAGTTAGAAGTAGGGAACTCAGCCTTCTTTTTGAAGGTCATAAACATAACTCCCATGCACTACAGATTGATAAGCAAATCTAAACTTTTAATCATAAACATATGCCAACATCAGGGAAGGAGAATGCAAATTAAACACCTTTTTTCTAGCGTGACCAAATTGACTGATGCTTTAACAGCACCATGGAATTGGATAAATGTTAGTAAAATTTTCCACTATGGTTAAATTCTATATACTTGAGCAGAAATATTATTCCAAAATCTCTTACTCTTTGTTAATAATGACATTGTTATTCCTATTATTATATGAACCATCTAATGCGATATGCAATGCATTAAGCAGATAATGACACAAAAGTATTTTCCTCACAGATGTGAAGTAGAGGCGTGTGCGAACATGACGCTCCGGTGTCCTGACATTTGCATACCTGATTAAAGTGCACAAAAAGTAAGATTCTGTATCATAGTGTAGAAGACAAGTATGAATCACAAGGTCCACATACTTTGGATCCAAACGATATTTGGTCTCTTTATCATCATCATCCTCCTGGTCATTTGATATGTCACTTGTGGTGCTTAATCTTCTTGTGTCATCATTCTTGATGAAAAATTTCGGTTGATAATCTTTATCTTCCTTTTCATTCTTAGTTGATGTTGAACGTTCCTCTTGATTATTCTTTAACTCAGAGACACTAATGGCTTCTTCACGAGTATTCCTCAGATCAATTAAAATTTTGCCCAACAATCGGCGGGCAATCTGGAGAAGAAGAAGAAGCAAGAATTAGGCAACTGCAAATTACAAATTGAAAAGTCTACTGCCCATGTATACATATACAGAAGAATATACTATTGAAGGGGCTGGGGTTGCAGGAATTGGTGAGGGCAAAAGAAGTCTATAAACTGGGTTTGATTTCCAAACCCACTGCCTGTATCTGCTTTTAATTTTTAGTTTCCAAAAATGTATTTTCAATTTTTATCATAAGCCTTTGAACCAAGAAGTCATGTGAGAGTCACTACAGCAAGGTTCATTCACCTTTGAACCAATCTTAAGCTTTTGCATTGGATTAATTCCATACTCATTGGGGATGACACCATCAGCAAGTAACTGCAACAAAAATACCCAGAGTAAGGCACGTTACCAGAATAAATGACCTAATAAAAAAGCAATCCAGGTGATATGCATTAATGAAACCTTATACCACTCTCTAAACTATTTACCATGATTCTTAGCTAAAAAACTGTACTTTTGAACTACTGAATTTCAGAGGAAACGTCAATCTCAGAGGTCATGATATGGCAGGTTCTTTAGAAAACAAACTGCAGAATATTGTATCCAGCAGAGCCTAATCCTTTTTTTTTTTTTTTTGGGGGGAGAGGAGGGGGGGTTGTGTCAATTGGTAAGTATGCATCAGAGGTTGTGTAACATAATACGGTTAAAGGTAGCAGCATTTCTTGATCCAATTGAATAGAGAAAATATCTTATGTCAAAAGCAACAAAATATAAATATAGAATTGCTCCTCTTCTTTATTTTTTGAAAAGCATATAGAATTGCTCCTCTAAAGTGCTAAAATGTTTGTACCTGAGCAACTTTAAAGAGCTCATCCAACCCTTCCAGATTAAGATGAGAATTATGTAGGAGATCGTATCTGTCACATGGTAGGTCAACCAACACATATCATCAGTCAGAAAGGGAGAAAAAGAAAAAGAAAAAAGAGAAAAGAAAAAAACAATATAAGGCATGGGCTATAAATCAACTCAAATTAAGATACACCGACCCATGTGAATTCTATATCATTTTCATAATAAGTCATGATGAAACGTTAAAATCAAGATCACTATGCAACTGAAATCTAGAACGTCAAAGGGGTTCTTTATTCTCTGGTTGCAGGAGTGGGGATAGACATACAATCTTGCAACAAATTCTAGCAAAATTTAATTGAATTCCAGGAAGAAAAGATTGCTCATCAAACTACTAAAATATTTTAGAGAAAGCATAACTCAAAACCGTTTATATTATCAGAATTAAAAATGACTAGGCATCCATTAATGAGCTTCCCCAACAAAACACTAAGAGATGGGAATAGATGGGTGCACATGAGGATTGAAATATTGAGAACAAACACCCACGTACATGTTCATACAATCTCAACAGGTTCAGTTGTAACTCAATAAGAGCACATTTAGAATAAAGCTACATAATGATTTGGGAAAAACGAACATCTAGAAAAATGAAAGAAAAGTGTCCTCTAAATAGGCAGAAAATGAACCTTGATAGAGATTATATGGGAATAGGAAGACAGGGTTAGAAGCAAATTTTGGATGAACATGAAGCAAGAAAAGATATTTGCATGCATGATATCTAAAATATAAAGAATTTTTATACTAAAGGTTTAACTTTCTAACAAGTTGCACTGACAGAAAGAAAGAGAGCTTACTTGCATGAGTCGTAAACATCTGGAATTTGTGTTATATCAAACCGACTGCAAAAAAATTCAATGTCATTGAAGATTCTAATCCATCAAAAAGGACTCAATCCTTGCCAAAATTCTGAACCATAGTATAAGCAAATATTTTTCTCAAAAAAAATAGCACTGAAAACTTTCATAAAATAGTAAATCAAAGCATGAAGAACTGGATTTTCAAAACATAGAAATGAGACTTTGAAATAGATAAAATCAGAGTTTGGTTGGAAAAGAGTTTCCTTTGGAAGCCCAGGGCTAAAGTGGTGGGAAAGAAGCCCTTTTAGTCTAAAGACAGTGTTCCTCTTAACCAAAAGCTGGTAGTTTAATTCAGTCCTGTGTCACAGGTCTGCCTGAGGGAATATTAATTTTCTGCTTCACTGTCACAGGTCTCTTTTGTGATCCATTGGGCCTTATGCAGTTGTGCTATTATAAATAGATTACTATTTAGAGTCCTTTGTTTGGATTGGGTATTATTCCTAAATGCTTGTCATTGTAGGAATCTTAGATCAATTAGGACTGGTATTTGATGCATAAAACTTTCCTTTGTACTTTAAAGTTATTGAAGTTGGTATCTATGAGAACATTGAGTTGTTTGGGAAAAGTTCTGCCTTGTTAGTTGTTACAACTGTTCTATCTTCTTTCTTCTTCTTCTTCTCTATCTGCTACAGTAATTTTGTCTTACCATTCACTATGCAGCACCAGTAAGATTACATTATCTGTACTAACTGCAGTCACATGCCTACTCTTTTGCCTATTCTATTAAAACCTTAAAACCATAATTTCTCCAACCTCAAACTTAATTTGCAAGGAGATATAACACAAGCACAATTTTTGGTTGGCTACCCATTCATAGAGGATGGGCAGCAC